CTTATATTTAATGAATTTTATTATTTATAATATAATATTCAAGTGTTTAATCAACTATTTTGTATGAAATCAAGAATTTTTGGCCAATAAAAACCTAATTTAAAAGATAATGTCTACTAATACTGTATAGCAATGAATAACTCACATAACGATCAGAACTTCTTTTATTTTTAGCAAAAGTTATGAATTTTTCGATTCAAATGCACTGAAAATTAGGAAAAACTTTGTCCATCGATATACAGACCGCTTCTACAGCTCATCCTTAGGGCCAGAGCTCGAGTGTTTGGGCGACGACTTCGGCTTCTTTAGTGAAGGGTCCGACGGGTCTGGTCTGGCCTCTGATAATGACTTGATCTCTGATTTGCTGCCCGGGAATGCCGAGGATGCAGACGAACGCGAGGACCCACCACTTGATCCACCATCTAATCCGCCACCGAATCCACCACTGGATCCACCACCGGATCCGCCGCCGAAGACCGCGCTGGCGGTGCTCTCGACATAGTGATAGAGGCCGTACTTCTTGAGCAGCGGTTCACTGTATCTCTTCATCTCGAGAGCGCAGAGAAGGGCACAGAATATGATGAGAACCACGAGTCGGAAGGGAAAGAACCATCGCTTGTAGCCATAGAAGAGCCACCGGAAGAGGATCACCACAAAGGCCTGCTTCAGACCGACGGCCACATTGAGGACGAACTTCTNAAAGAACCATCGCTTGTAGCCATAGAAGAGCCACCGGAAGAGGATCACCACAAAGGCCTGCTTCAGACCGACGGCCACATTGAGGACGAACTTCTTCTCCAAGTGGTGTTCCTTGACGTACGCGAACACAATCTCTCGGGCTTTCATCACGTGCTCCATGGCTTGTGTGTGGTATCTGTTTGGCTGCGGTCTGGATGTGCTGTCTATTTGATGGTATAAATGCTTGTAATCTATAAAACAAAACTCAACCGATTGTCTCGACTATAACTTTGCAAATGATTTGCTGTTACTTTGGTTTGCGATTCAAACCTTGAATTTAAAATAGAGTCGACAAAAATCACGCGAAATAATGACAATTACTATACAATACAAGCGAATGATTAGATTTAGTGAATGAGTGTTAATTGTTGAGTGAATTGTTGTATTGAATGCATTAATTGTGGTCTCATTTGAAAGTAGCAGTCATTTGGTGTCCATTGAGTGACTCATTGAGTCCAACAATTCTTAGCCATTTTTCTCCGAGTTGTGTCCAAAACGAGTCGAATATGGATCACAACAACGCTCTCGAAGTGGACATCGAAGAGCAGACAACTGGACCACCGATGGAACCGAGACGTCGCCGAAGGAGCCCTTCTAGTGGTCGAAGCCGTGGCCGAACGGGTCGTTCCGGGTCTGGAGGTCGAGGCGGCCGACGCTCGCGCTCTCAAGAGGACTGTCCGCACCCGGAAGACGCGGATGTCGTGACAGGAGAAGACAGTGTCATAACTGAGTGGAGACACGCCATCCTCGTCCATCCGCACCAATAAAGCCGTTGTTTCTTATTTGCATTGATTTGTTGAACGAAATTCACTGTTTAGTCATTAAAACAAATTTATTGCCAAATAAATGCCTTCAAAACTAATTGTCTAATTGTATGCAGTGTTTGAAAAATAGTAACAAAAAATAATATGTTTATTATAGGTCTTTGTCTTATTATCTGTTATCTGATATAATCTGTATGTCATTAAAGGTTATTAAAAAAAACAACTATAGTCATATACCCTGGTACTTTATCCAGAATACAACTTACTGTCAGAAAAAGTTTGCCAAAAGTGGTGTTTAAAGGGAACGTATGTTTTGAATGAAATGTTTTGCTTATGTTTTCAATAAACACGTGCTTCTGATGTGACGTAAGTTTGGTTTACCATTGGATTTGATCTGAGAGTGGATTTAATTGGCGAAGACATACGCGAAGAAGTGATCGCATTATCTCTCCACTCAAGCGATGGTCAAAACACGACAGAAACGATTCAATTGGAAAGCGAGACAATCGGGCCATGAAGTGGTCGCCAAGGAAGCGGATCCGCCAAAAGTGAGACATTGTTTGTCGCATCGCTATTGCGGCGACCAATTGATCCATTGGGTGATAATCATGTTATATATATGACACAGAAATCGGTGGCCAATAAGATAGACATCGGCGTGGATGAGACAAAATACGATTCGTGTAACGCATTGGTTTTGGACACCACGAGGAAGGGGTCCAAAACATTCCGTGGTTTACACGGCTTTCACCGCTTTCAAAACAGCTTTTTTGTTTTCTTTTTTAATCTCTTTCATAACGTCGCTTTCTGGGCGTTTTAATTACATTTTTGATAACAGAGCAAACCAAACTAACTAGTCTTAATTGACAATTGATTTGATTTTTTATGACATCTTTTCTCTCGCTTTGATAACTCACTAAACGTTCTGCACTCCCAACTTCTGTTCCTTTACCGCAATTACAGCAGGTGATCACTACAGGTCTGAAAGCCAGCGTTTGCCAAACAATATTAATTGAGAAGTTTTTGTGTTTAATTTTCTGATTTAAGCGAAAGATTTTTTGACTTAATTTTATGTTGTGTTTTGAATCAGATTTTTAGATAATTGTAAATCAATTAGTGATATAAATACTGAAGAGATCCACGAAATAACTGCAATTAAATACAAGACTCGCAATACGTTTAAGAAACTCAAAACTGAACCCAAAAATAAAGACTTGAATGTAATCGCAGTGTCGGACGCACTGAGCAGTAGTTCAGAAAGCGATGACACCAGTGATGAGGATAATGACAATTCAGGTGATAGTGATGTGAAAGACGCAGACAATGCTGTCGTGATTAATGATAAAACAGAGTCCAAAACGAGTGAACCAAATGTTAGTGACAAAAGTGAATCCGATGTCAAACGCGACTCCAATGTAGTGACTGAAAAACCTGTTGAAAATGTTTGCGAACCCGAGAAACCGAAACCAGAAGTGACTGAAGAAGTAGTGAAGAGACAATTCGTGGCCATCGACAGGACCGATGAGATCGAGAAGTTCCGGTCGGCGCTGCCTATTGTGAACGAAGAGCACACTATAATGGACTCCGTGTTCAACAACATGTTTGTCATCGTTTGCGGGGAAACGGGTTCAGGAAAGACGACACAAGTGCCACAATTCCTCTATGAGGCCGGCTTTGCCACCAATGGACAGATCATTGGAGTGACGGAACCGCGCAGAGTGGCCGCCATCGCTATGTCTAAACGAGTGGCTCACGAGATGAACCTCTCGAGCAGTAGAGTGTCGTATCAAATAAGGTTTGACACAAACGCCACAAAAGAGACACAAATTAAGTTCATGACAGACGGCGTACTCCTCAAAGAGATACAAAATGTTTGTATTCATACTGTTATATCAAACATACGGTATATGTCTATAGATTTATTAATTGACTATTTGTTTGTGAATTAGGATTTCCTTCTGCAGAAGTATTCAGTGATAGTCATCGATGAGGCGCACGAGCGGAGTCTTTACTCCGATATATTGATCGGTTTGCTGTCACGTATTGTTCCGCTCAGGAATAAAGTGAGTCTATAATTGAGATATAATTTGACACAAAATGTATATTTGTTTTGTTATAACAGAAGAAGAATCCTTTAAAGTTAATCATAATGTCGGCGACGCTTAGGGTCGAAGACTTTACCACAAATACCAGGCTTTTTAAGAGTGTTGCGCCCGTACTCAAGGTTTGTAATAGTGTTGAGTAATAAAGCAATTAAATTGAATAATGAATGACTCGTTGACTATCAGATCGATTCGCGTCAATATCCAGTGTCCGTTCACTTCAATAAGAAGACAAACACTGATTATCTTCACGAAGCGTTCAGAAAGGTGTGCAAAATACACGCCGAATGCCCGGCCGGTGGGGTATTGGTGTTCGTCACCGGCAGGCTTGAAGTGGAAGTGTTGTGTCGAAGACTGCGAGCGAAATATCCGAACAATAGCTATAAAAATAATAACGAAGTTTCCACTCATAAGAGTAGACAAAAACGGATCAAAAAGAGCAGTGAATGTGAAGAAAATAAGACATTAGTGACAGAGAAGGCGCCGACAATCAATTTGGATGAGTGAGTGATTTGAGTGAAACTTTTACCGCAGTTTGAATGCAATTAAAATTAATTTTATTTATCAAATTAGTTATGACGTGAATCCACTGGAAAGCGAAACAGTTTTAGACGATTTTGATTACTCTGACGATGAAAATGATGAGCAAATTGTCGATCACAACAGCGACGACGAGGACAATATCTACGCCCAAAGCCAACCCCTGTATTGTCTGCCACTGTATTCAATGCTTCCGCACTCGCAAGTCTAGAGCTAGAAGTTTCTCGGCGGTGTCCCGAGCGCTAACACACAGTAGCGGTGGTTGCAGCGGCTCTGAAGCGAGTGATAAGGATTGTAATTTATACAACAGCTGAGGCCTTTCCAACCAGAGTTTAGCGCCGACAGTCAGCGGACTTACAGTTTTACAGTTGACTAACAGTTTTGTTAATTGAAAGGTTAAAACAAAAGTCTACGACAACGTGACCGGCATTTCGACATTTATCATCAGTTGGACGTCGAAAGCGTCGGCTGACCAGAGGGCAGGTCGTGCGGGGCGTACGGGTCCGGGACATTGCTATCGGTTGTATTCGTCGGCCATATTTAACGACGAATTCCCTCAGTATTCAGAGCCGGAAATACTGCGAAAGCCTTCCGACGACCTAATGCTACAAATGAAAGCCATTAACATCGAGAATGTGGTGAACTTCCCGTTCCCCTCTCAGCCATCCGTCGAAGCACTCATAGCCGCCGAGAAGCGACTCATATCGATGGGCGCTCTCAGAGATATGGCCACAAAGTTGGAGAAAAACCAATTGAAAGCCAAGATTACAGAACTGGGAAAAGCAATGTCTCACTTCCCCATAAGTCCACGTTATGCCAAAATGTTAGCCCTTTCCCGTCAGCACCAACTCATGCCGTACACCATAGCTATAGTGTCGGCGCTCACTATTCAAGAGATATTTATCAGCAACGAAGCGACGACTAAAAAACACAAGTTTTGGTTCAACACCGAAAGCACTCTCCTATTGGGCGATGTAATGGTTTTGTTGAACTCTATCGGCGCCGCACAGTATGCGGGACTGACCGACAAGTTCTGCAAACAAAACGGTTTGCGACACAAAGCCATTACGGAAATCAATAAATTGCGGAAACAATTGATTTATCAAATCAGGAGTATATGCAGTGATTTGAGTGAAGACATGTTCAGTCTTGAGATGAAACCCCCAAACGCTTTGCAAATAAAGCTTTTGCGGCAAATAATGTTGAGTGGATTCTTCGACCGCATCGCCCGAAAGGTTCCCGTTTTGGACATCGATTTGAACGACAAGGAGAAGAGGAAACTGCGAAACGCTTACCAATCGATAGAAGTGGAGAAACCGGTGTTTATGTCGAAGAACTCCATATTAAGCGACGATTTGCCCGAATATGTTGTCTATCAGGAGTTGTTTGAGTCGTCGAGACTTGAGATGAGAAATGTGGTGCCAATTGAAGCCGAATGGTTGCCCCTATTTGTGCCCCATTTGTGCACATTTTCCAATCCCTTGGAAAACCCGGCGCCCCGTTATGACAGCACATCCGACTCAATCAAATGCCACCGTTCGGCCACTTTCGGGCCGTACGACTGGCCCATCAAAGCCACTGAACTCGTATACCCTCATTTTCCAACCCCCTGGAAACCCCGGCGCCCCGTTATGACAGCACATCCGACTCAATCAAATGCCACCGTTCGGCCACTTTCGGGCCGTACGACTGGCCCATCAAAGCCACTGAACTCGTATACCCAGAAGGCCTCGAACGGTATAAATATTTCGCCCGATTTCTGCTCGAAGGAGATGTCGTTCCCTTCTTCAGGACATATTCCAAGAGTCTGTTGTCATCGCCGGTAATAATGACCAAATCGTGGGCTTCTCTTCAACCCCGAAGCGAACGGTTCCTCAAATCAATTATCTCTCAAAACATAGACAACAGAAAGAGTTTATTAAATAAATGGAAAAGTGATGCAAATTGTAAGCATTGAACATATTTTAGACGTGTTTTGCAATTGTACTCAAAAAATATTTGCTTTCATTTTCAGACCTATTGAAGGAATACACCGAATGGTTACCACAATCGTATCACCAAGAAGTGAGAACTCGGTGGTCGACCATTGGTTCCGATAGGATCACGTCTTAAAATATTTTACTCATTATTTTTTGAATCATTGAATATTTATAATAAAATAACTAATTATATTCATAACGTTATTATAAAGTTTTTGCGAAAATCATTAATCATTGCATTCAATAATTTTCACATAAATTTTAATCTCAATTCTCATGCAATCGGAGCTCATTTGCATAGGTATTGAGCAATGGTTACCGCAATCATTGGGACGGCCTATGGTTTGGTATGAATTGCGAATCAATTAACTAGAAATTGACAAAAAAAATTAAATCAAAAATTAGCTCCGATTTACGATAAATGCTAGCGTGAAATGACCAAGAGCACATTGGCTCACGTGGTGACCAGTGTCTCATTGAATGCGAGCCAATGGGGAATGTGTTGCCATCTGTGGGCCATTCGTTGACCCCATATATGTGTATGTTTTGTACAGTTCTGTAGCGATGTATTGAATAATGTTTTTACGATATTTTGTATCTTATTATTGAATTAAAAAATTATATTTAATCCAAAACTCATTTTATTTATGTTTTCGTTAATTGTATCCCATTTTCGTCTCAAATATCGCCTAAATTAACGCCAATTGTGTCGAAATGAGTCGCTTTTGGTAATTATTAGGGGAAACGCAATGCAATCGTAAAATGCATTCAAAAAAATGTTTTTATAATTAAATTAAATTTCAATTTTTACTGCATTTCCAGTCCAATGACTACGATATCGATTGTAACCATCGTTTGAATGACTATTGCAGCAAATGAACGAATCGGTGGTCAAACCAATGCTGACCAACAGTCTTAAGCAAATCGTTGCCACAAATCACTGTACGATAAGAACCGCGAGACATGTCTCTCCGCTATAAGCCATTGATTTGATTGTCACTCACGAGTGCTAATTATGACTCCATTTGATTGTTGTGTTGATAGCAGTGAACGGCGATATGGTTTCGCAGACACAGACCACTCAAAGCCAACCCAATCATCACTCATCCGCACCACACAAACCACAGTCACATCCGAGTGCGGCGGACGCGACGGTCACTGATAAGGATAAGAAGCCGAGGAATTACAAACTCGTCTGCGATCCGGCCCTCAAGAAGGGGCCGACGAAGCTCTACCGATACGATGGTGTCGTTCCCGGGGTTTGTATCGCAAGGATTGGGAAAAGTTTGCCACCAATTGACACATTGTTTGCTCCCATTTGTCACTCACTCTCGCAGAAGGAGTCGCTGTATCCGTGTATTCAAGTGAAAGACCCCCGAAGAGGGCCCCCCATCTGGAACCGCGTCGAAGCCGCGGAACTAATTGTTCCCAAATTTAAGGTTAATTTGCATTCAATTTGAATTTAGTGTTGAAGTAGTGATGGCTATAGAAAAGCAGTGCTTTTTCTCATAAGCCATTGAACTCTATGTAAACAAATGACAGGCGTTTCGTAATTCAATTATTATTAGTGATAAGACTATTGACTGCAGTCTCGCAATCACTTCATCTGTCAAATGAGTTATGGATTTAAATTATTTGCCAATATTTATGCAAATTTATGCACAATTTGGTGCTTAAAATCGGTGGCATATAACTAGCATTTTATAGCTATTCGCACTCCAAGTCTATAATGTCTTAGCATTTCATTCATTTTTTGTTTGACACACAGATTGACAGCAATTATGTGGGAATTCCTCCGCCGATTGAAGTGTCGATCACTAACCTCAACGACAACATAAATAAGACATTTCTAGAGGATTTGGTGAAGAAGATTGATCTCATCGATGAAATCCAAGTGCTATACCACCCGAAGACGAAGAAGCACTTGGGTTTAGCCAAAATCATATTCGCCACCACTTCGGGCGCCAAGGGGTGCGTCGAGAAGTTGGACCAGACGTCGGTGATGGGCAACATCATCAATGTCTTTCACGACCCGTTCGGTATGTGTCACACATTTTCCATACATTCATGCGTGAGATATCAGTGAACCACTAAAACTCGTGAGCGACTCACCCCTCATGTGATTGTCTCTCCTTTTTTTGGTGGTCTGACTCGACATATAATAGACTTTCACTAATTGTGTCATACATTTCAAAATACATTAATTGATTGGTTTTATAAAAATGTCCACAAATTACAGGCAAGGAAGTGATGGCGGCGTTCGAGGCTATTGTAAACCCTCCTCCGCCTCCGGCCGTACCCCTGATTCCTGTCGCAAAAGCCGTCGACCCCGCCTTCTTAGATCCCAATACAGTTGTCGTCGATATAGACACTAAAAGCACAGCAACGGTCCCATCTGTCAACTCATCCATTCCCGTCACTACTCCCGGCAGTAGCTCTGACTTCGGTTACGGCACTGACGCCAGAGGCTGTCCCACATCGTCCACCAGTTATCTCTCGACTCACTCCACCCATTCGACACCTCTTAGCTTCGACAGCGGTTTCTCATATCAACAGCAATACCCTTACAATCAAAACAACGGCAACACCTGTCCCGACGGCGCGTGGGGTCAGACGACCCCCAATAACATGGTTTGGGATCAGCAGACGGGGGCGTGGGTTGAGAGCACTCAACCCACCGATAAAAGTCAGATTCGCGAGAGTCTCGACTCGAGAATAGAACTGCTTTTGAAGCAACAGAGCGTTGGTTTGGGTCCCAGTTTTCTCGGAGTCATGTCCGCCGTCGGAAGCCCTCCTTTCGTCGCAAACGACTTTAAAAGTAGTCCAAAGAATCACCGAAAGAACAATGAGTTAAACGACAGGAACCGACACCAGACGTACGATTCGGACGCCATATTAGGGACGCCTCCGTCGCCCTTCTTGAGTGCCTCTGATTTCATAAAATGGCATAAAATGACAAAAGCCATCGACTCGGGAAGGGATCCGAATCTGGAGGACAGCGACTCCGAGACGAACCACAATATGGATGACGAGGTGATCGACGACGACGCGACGCCACTGAAGGACGAGCCGCAGGAAAGTAAGAGATCCCGAAATAAAACGTATAAAAAGGGTGTTCTTGAGGACGACATGGATGACGACCGTATGTCGTTGTCGTCGCTGAGTAGCGGCGAGAAACTGCATATTGGAGGCGAGGACTCAGGCGAGCCATCCATCTCTGCGGGCGGCGCTCTCCACCAGAGCTCACACCCCATGTATCCGTCAGAACACGTGCAGATGATGGCTCGCTTGGGCCTCTGGAAGCCCGGCATGGGATCCGATATCACGTCGGGAGAGTTCAGCTCAGCCTCAACTCAGCCCAACTACACCTCGACGTCCGCCGCGACGTTCGCGCCCTTCATATTCCCGCCTATGACTGGCCAGTCGTACGCCGCCGCAGCCGCGCAGTCAACCGCCCAGCAGTACCCGCAGCCCAGTTTCTACCCCATACCCGGCTATATTCAGCCCAATAGCTCTCATTTCTCTTCCATCTCAGCGCCAATGACTCCGACGTCGAAAGCGCCGCAAATGACTCCTCACACGAGCCTCGAGTGGCAGAAGCAGACGAGCGAAGCCAAGAAGACTCAAATCACTCGCAATTCGCTGAACATTGTGGTGAAAGAGCTGAAAGAGTTGATCAAAAAAGACATTTGCAAGAAAATGGTGGAGAGCTCGGCGTTCAAGATGTTCGAGAAGTGGTGGGATGACTGCGAAAGCAAATCCAAGACACAAGACTATAGTACAACGGATGACATGGTTATCAACAATAGAGTCCACGACGTGATTCACTCGCGACAAACCAATTCGGACGACTGGAGGTCGATGTCCTCACTGTATGACAACAATCGCACGGAATCTGTAAATAATTTTAGCGGTTATGGCGGCGGAGGACTCGGTCTTCGCGCAGCCATTCCTAAGATGCCTTCATTTCGGCGCAAACTTAAAAAGCCGACGTCTCCTCCCGACCCGACCGACGACGCCACTAATGACGCCAAGAGAGCCGACTCTGATGTCGAGGCCGACAAAGTGTCGGATGAGTCCGAGAATGAGAGCTATAGAAGGGATTCGCGGACACAGAAGAACAGGTCAGCCGCTGTTATCGACCAGAGGGCCAAGTCTTCGAGTAGTGACAGCAGTTCGAGCTCTAGTTCCGGCTCGAGTTCGTCCGACTCGAGCTCTACATCGAGCGAATCGGACAGCGAGTCGTCCTCTTCATCGTCGTCATCGTCTTCATCGTCCTCTTCATCCATATCTTCGTCCTCGTCGTCATCCGATTCATCGCATTCGTCCGATTCGAGCGCAAAGAGAAGAAAGAAGTACCGAAAGCATCGGTCGACTCATCCCAAGGATGCGAAAGCAAAGTCAGTGGAGATGTCATACGATTCCGATTCGTCGAAATCGTTCGCTCAAAGAAAGTCAGACATAAAGGCTGAGAAAGAAAGCTCTGAATTGATCTCAAAAAGTGATACAAATTTGAGTTCAATGAGGAGTAAGGAGACACTCGAGAAGGACTCTGAAGTGACCACTGATTTGGAGTACGAGGCCACTCAGGCGCTCATGGCTTTGGCCACTGGTTTTGCATCCGCTCCTAAGTCCGCGGACACCGACAGAACTAATAGTGTTTACACACGAGATGGCAAACCGCCCAAAAGTGTTCCCCTCGGAAGTGATACCGAGTCGGCGTCAGAAGCGGAACAGTTCGAGAACGACGTGCCGCAGACGTCCATAGCGTTTGATCACAGCTATTGTCTGCCAGAAGTGATCACTCGACGCGAACAGGTCTCAGATCTGGACTCTCTTATCGATTCTGTCGCGCGAGGAGTGCCTAAGACTCAGGAGAAGGAGAAAGAGAAAGAGACGGACAAATCGAAGGGTCAGTTAACGGATCACATGTACAGCCGATCAAATCATACCTCATCGCAAGCGAAGCCTCAGAAAAGACAGTATAAGCGAAAGACTTCGACGACAACTCCCGTGAAATCTCCGAACCGTGAGTTCCATCACAGCCTTTACGCCGTGGCCTCCGAGTGGCGCAAAGCCAAGAGAGTGTCGAATGTGATCAACAATCTGACGGACGATCTCTCGGAGTTCGTCGAAAGGAGTCCATCGCCGCCGCAACCCATGTATAAGAAACGGGATCTCATCGGAGAGATGAATATATTGTACGAGTTCTTGAAGACGGGTATCGACGGCGAGGACGTGGCGTACATGAAGAGGTCGTATGAGACGATGCTTCAGGACGACAACCAGAGCCACTGGTGGATGAATGACATCCATTGGGTCGATCACACGCCCACTCACATCGTGCCGCCGAAGAAGCGCCGAAAGACGGACGACTCGCACCCGCGCATCCATCAGACGGGTTGCGCCCGATCTGAGGGCTACTATAAGATGGATGTGTTCGAGAAGATACGTCTGTCGCACGTCTCGAACGCGTCGCTCAACACCACGAACAACGACGACGAAGACGTACCGAAACAACTGCGCGCCCGACAGACGGGTACACAACAGTCCACTCGCGAGGCGCGCTCTAACCAGAGGAGGCTTTTGGCGACAGTGGACGCCGCCTGGAGTGACCTCTTGAAGTTCAATCAGTTGCAGGTTTGTCACCATTTGTGGCCTCTTTTCGCTTCAAATGTATTAAAAACCATTGGTTTTTGTGTCAAACAGTTCCGTAAGAAACAGTTGAAGTTCTCGAAGAGTCGTATTCACGACTGGGGTCTCTTCGCGTTGGAACCGATCGCCGCCGACGAGATGGTCATCGAATACGTGGGCCAAGGAATCCGTCCCATTGTGGCCGACATCAGGGAGAAGAAGTACACGGAGATAGGCATCGGAAGCTCATACCTGTTCCGCGTGGACCTCGAGACCATTGTGGACGCCACGCGGTGTGGTAACGTAGCAAGGTTCATCAACCATAGCTGCAATGTATGTCCAATGATCACAGTGATTGCGTCCATTGTGTGGTAATGTCTAACGAGTGACTGGTTTTTACACCACTTATAGCCCAACTGTTACGCCAAAGTGATTACCGTTGAGGGCAACAAGAAAATAGTCATATATTCAAAGCAAGCGATCGGTGTGGACGAGGAGATCACTTACGACTACAAGTTCCCCATCGAGGAGGACAATAAGATCCCGTGCCTCTGTCTGGCGCCCCAATGTCGCGGTTTCTTAAATTAATTGCTTTTTTTATCATTTGAACCTTTATTTTTCTGGACACAGATTTGTATATAAATTTATTTAGTATTTAATTTGGTTTTTAATGTAAGCGTTACTTTACCTATTCGTTGCATCAAAAAAAACTTTGCGCAAACTTATGGCCAATACTTTGACTCAATGCACACACAATCGCTGTCACTTACACCACACACACACACACATCCCTGCCTTATATCCAGAGACACACACTCTGTCTGTCTGTCTGTCTCTCTCTCTCTCTCTCTCTCACTCATTTGAAATCCCGTTTCAAATTGATTGTAAATTACATGAAAAATCTATTTAATTTAACCGCAAACCCAAACCCACATTGAGATCGCTGTCGCACACACTTCGCCAATAGGTTACGTCATTGATATGTAAGCCGTGGCTGTGTTGTTGTGTTGATGTATTGGTTGCGTAAGTGATTGGCGTATAAAAGGCGATGAATGCGGTGACAAATGCTGCGAAAAGCCGTGTCTTTAACCGCGTGTTTGTCTCACATACTGACCACTCATTTGAATGAAACAATGGGTCGAAAGCAGTGATCATACAGTGATTTGTGTGGTTCGACAGTGCGAGTGGTGACCAGTTTTCAAGGCATTTGTGTTTACAGTCATATGTTTTTTGGTCTATTGTTATATAATAAACATTTTCACACTATTACTGAAGTTAAACCACACTATTGTACAGTACATTACCAATTGAATTGACTATTAAATAATGTATAAATGATATATTATTAATGAGCGTATTAATAATAGTTATTATAAATTATTTTCTTTTATAATAATAAGACAAATAAAGTTTGAAAACAGTTTCAAAAGCAATGTCCAAATCATTGCCGGAAGTGTCCGATGGTTTTGATTGCAGTGAATATGTGTTGGGATTGTTGGCCGCCAATGAGTCCAGTGAGTGGATCCGATGGCGGATCAAATCGGACATTGAGTCCACGCGAAGACAGTTGAGTGAACAGCTGCTGGCGTTTGACATCGATTTGAGTGAATTGAATACGAATTACAATCAGTTGATTGGTCTGAAGAAGCAGATGAATGAATGCGAGACACAATTGAATGCATGGATTGCCAGCGATTTGTCGCAAGAGNCGGCATATATGTGTTCATCGATTCTGTGCTTTACTTTATATACGGTTCCAAAACCTCCGGAACCGATGGCCGACAACTCAATGAACAGACTTTTGTAATGGTTTTCATGCGAATTATGTCCCAATTTTGTTACAACTATTTTGTGAATAAAATATATTAATTATAAACAGATACAAAAAGCAATCATATTATTTATTTAAAAAAACAAATAACAACATACCTTCATTTGTATTAATATTATATTGGTTAGGTTTAATATTTGGCGTTTTATTTGTTTTCATTACAGATTCAGAGAGATTTGTGACCATGTTCATATTTATATGCAGTGTATTATAACTTAGTTGCAATTCAGTTGCATAAAAATCTATAAAATTATTATATTTAGATTTTTGCACTTTTGTTGGCGATATGAGTTCCCAAATGCTGTCATCAGTTTGTATTAATACGATTTTTCGAAAAACAAATGAATGCATTTCATCAATGTGTTGAACGTTTAATTTCATTGAAATTGGTCTGGGTAGTATTTCTATTTGGACTTGTTTCATGTCATCAGTATATTTGCCACAAAAATAAATTATATTACTATTGGATAGAAAACATGTGAAATAATATGCGGAACAAATAGATTTGATATGATTTAACTGTGGAATCAATTTGGGGGTCAAAATGTTTTCTCGTGATTCATGTCCACATTGATGGTCACTATTATAACCCCAACTAAATACCAAACCATTTAAAGTAATTGTGAATGAACTCCCGACACCACAAAATATATTTTTCATCTTATAATTGTTTTCAAATTGTATGAAAACTGGTGAACACATTATATTATTCTTAGAGTACCCACATCCTATTTGTCCGAAAGTATTGTCGCCCCACCCGTACGCCTTTCCATTGGTCGTGAGCGCCAGGGAATGCTGATCACCACAACAAATATATGCGATATTCTTGTCATTTAATTGTGATATTAGTTGTGGTTTTAAATAAACCCCTTCTGGTGTCACATCT